CCTGTGTTTAGGCAGGGCGGGCTGAGCTTCACATCCAAACCCTTCTGTCGAGCCAAGACGAGCTTGTAAAGCGCTCGGCGCTCTGCTCATCATCCCATTTACCGAGGCTGAAATCCCTCTGGGTTGAGAGGCAGACTTCAGCTGAGCAACCTCTGCCCCCTCTACCTGCTTCTGCCTGCATGGCTGTTACAGCATTGCACCACAAAGCACTTTATATCAGTCTGGTGTGAGGTTTAACTTTGACAAACCGCTCCAGCCGCGCGCCGTGCAGCGGGTCGAGTTCGTAGATTAGTAACGGAGGGCGCCGGCGAGCGGGAGAACGAATGGGGTGCGTGACGGATGCTGTTTTCTTTGGCAGGGCAGGAATTTGACATCAAAGCCAAATGTGTTATCAACGCCACGGGACCTTTCACGGACTCGGTGCGCAAAATGGACGATCAGGAGGTCCCCAACATCTGCCAGCCGAGCGCGGGCGTGCACATCGTGATGCCGGGCTACTACAGGTAACCACGTCCAGACCCTTTGTAACCTGCACTGCTGGTGCCTGTAGCTTGCAGAGACACCTTTGTGGGGTTTACAGTGCTGTTGGATGCACAATTATTTATTATTTTTAAGTGGTTTCTGGTACCTTGCTGATTCAAAGAACAACTTTATCCATTCAGAAAAGACTGAAATCTCACAGGTTTTAGTTAAAACTCACCAAGGCAAAGCTGCTGAAGCAGGAGGGCGTTCAGCATCGACACCAGGAGTTGGAAATCTCCGTTTTTATTAAGGAGTTGAGCGCACCGACTGCTTGTTCAGCTCCCTTAGGGAAACAAGGGGATGTGAAGCCTTGCAGAGAGGTTGCTGCCTTCACACAGAAACTCTTGTCCCATCAAATAGCAAACTTGTGCTGTTAAACAGCAAACTCTCATGCTGTTAAATACCAGACTCTTGTCCAATCAAATAGCAAACTTGTGCTATTAAATACCAAACTCTTGTCCCATCAAATAGCAAACTCGTGCTATTAAACAGCAAACTCTCATGCTGTTAAATACCAGACTCTTGTCCCATTAACCATCAAACCCTGTGCAGTGGCTCTGCTGCATTACAACCCCGCTCCCAGTGACTACAGATGCAATCCCGTAATTAGCTCAAAATAACCCAATTAAATCCTGCCACCGCTGTGGACCCAAGCCCGGCCACCCCTGGTGGTTTTGGGGAAGGACCTGCCCTGCTCTGCCCCCCTCACAGAGGAGGTTCCCGCTGCAGCCCCCGGCTCCTTCCCTGTGCGCTGCTGCAAACCCAAATCCCCGTGTGCGGCAGCGGCTCAAACATCACCTCTGGTTCCTGAAGTCATTAGCATCCTAATGGAAACTCGCACTTACAGACTTTGCCCAGTTGTGTTGATACAGTGCGCTTCCAGTAATGCCTTCGGGATCATCCCCGCGCCCCTCGGAATAGAAATTCAGATTTACAGTCACACCACGGGTGGTTTTGTCGGAGATGTCCCAGTGGGACACCACCACAGACCGTAAAATCGGGGCGGTTTTGGCCTAGTGTAAAATCACCCTTCATATTCTTGGGGTTTCGTGGTGTCTTTCCACGTGAAAAATGGGGAAATGACCCCATAGCTTCTTCAAAGCAGCAGCAACGTGGAGAAACGCGTTGTAACTTTGGTTTCCTCATACACCACGAGAAGCACATGTGGGATTGGCTTTCTGGCCCTGCAGCAATAACATGGAAAGCTTTAAAATGTTGAATTGCTTCATAAATTCATAGTATGAGATGGCTTGATACGCATGGGGGCTGTAACTTATTTATTTATTGAGTAATAGCCTAATGATTTTAATTGGAAACGTGGATAATCCATGTTCCCACATCCCCCTGTGTATCCCAGCACAGGGGCATTACTTCTCCTTTTCCATGGGGCGGCTGCTTGGGTAAAACTGCACCGAATTTCCATTAATTGGGGTGGCTGTAACCAAGGAGCTTTGTTGCTAAATAGAAAATACTCGTGGCATTTCATCTGGGCTCTATCCAGTCCTTTCCTGGTGCCAGGGAATGCTCCTCAGCAGTTGGTGAAAGTTTATAAAGTACAGAATTAGGGCCCAGACTCTCACAGGTAGAGGTTTCGAGATGTAAACGTAGTTAAGGTTTTGTAAAACTGCTGTTAACCCAATGCATTCGTTTCCCATGGGCTCCTTGCTCGTTTCTGTCCTTCATTAGCAGTCCTGGTGCTGCTCCTCTCATTAATTCTATTTTTAGAGCACACGTTATCTATTCCAGTCGCTGCAGCCTCTCACCCCCTGTAATTTCAATGTATTGTCTGATAAAACAGGAGAGGCTTTGGCTGCCTTCGTCCAGGTGGCTTTCCTGCCTCGGATGTCTCTATGAATGCAATGCTATTTGTTTCCCCTTCCTTTTGACCAATTTCAGGTGTTTTTCCGTATTTCTTGAGTTTTCCTCTCTGCATCCCAGCTCCCAGGTGAAGTTGTCTCTAAATCCTTAGTTCTGCCCTATGGGAAGTTGTCTCCTTGCTCTTGAGCCGCGTTTGCAGTGCCTTGGTCAATGCTGCTCAAGCCGAGCTCTCCCATGGGCCCAGTCTTTCGAGGTCCCTTCCAGCTCCTGATATTCTCTGGTTGGTTTTGCCCAAAATACCACATTTAATGGCCAGGAATTACCATTTACCAACTTCAGAGCAACTCTTCAGTGTTTTTTGGGGATCATCCTGTCTGGCTGAGTTGTCCATGGCTTCTCACCCCCTAGCTATGCTTTGGTCACAGAATCCCAGACCGTTAGGGATTGGAAGGGACCTCCAAAGCTCATCCAGTCCAATCCCCCTGCCGGAGCAGGAACACCCAGATGAGGTTACACAGGAAGGCGTCCAGGCGGGTTTTGAATGTCTGCAGAGAAGGAGACTCCACAACCTCTCTGGGCAGCCTGTTCCAGGGCTCTGTCACCCTCACTGAGAAGAAGTTTCTTCTCCAATTGAAGTGGAACCTCCTGTGTTCCAGTTTGTGTCCGTTACCCCTTGTCCTATCATTGTTTGTCACCGAGAAGAGCCTGGCTCCATCCTCGTGACACTCACCCTTTAAATATTTATGAACATGAATGAGGTCTCCCCTCAGTCTCCTCTTCTGCAAACTAAAGAGCCCCAGCTCCCTCAGCCGCTCCTCAGAAGGGAGATGCTCCACTCCCTTGATCATCTTTGTAGCCCTTTGGTCACCCCTTCTCAAGATTCATCCTCGTTTCTCATACATTCAACATACACAGTCCAATTTCACTGTGCTGCTCTATGGAAAAGGAGGCTTTTTAGAAAGCAGACGTGCTCCAGTCCATTCAGTTGTTTGAAGTCAACTCTTAAATACTGTACTTTTCCATCAGGCCAGCTATCTTGCTGTTATTTTTGCTGGCAAAGAGTCACCTCAGATCCATCTCTGTTACACTCCAAGGCCATTTGCCATTATATTTCCACGTAAAGGCATTTATACTTGATATTGGAGTTCACCACCCCATTTTAGCAGTCTTTAAGTACTGCAGTAGCTCATACCACGTTCCTGCATCCGCTCTGTGATGGTAAGAATTAATGTCTTATAAAATGAGTTGTTTCAGCAGCGTTCCTGGTGTGCAGCAACCCAATATTTGGGTGTTGGGATGCTGCTTTCTGATGGGAAATACCTGATATTACACTTGTTTTGGTGGCCCTTTGGGTATTTATATAAGGTGGGACAAGCGTTGCAGTAGGAGGTCGAGGGAGCGCTTCCCAGGATAGCCATAGTCGTTAGTTCAGCTAATTGGCGTGTGGAGAACAGTCTCATCATCTGCCGTGTCATCTACCTGAAAACACTTCAGTCCATGGCTGCTGTGGTGAAACTCGGTTTTAAGTCTCTACTTCTTTCCCTTCCTTATTTTTAACAGAAATTCATTTAAAAAAAACTTCATACTTTTGAGAAAAGCCCTGCAGTTTTCTGCATATTCCGGTACCATATATTAAATCTCTGGCTTCCTCTGTCTCTAAATCAATAGCTTTTTCATTTTAAAAAGTAATCATTTGTCTGACGTGATTTGCCTTTCACAAATCTGTGTTGACTTCCCCTATTAAATTGTACTTCTCCAACTGTATGCTTAAGCTGTCTATAAATATCATCTAAAAAATGTTCTAATATACATGCTATATATGAAATTTTCAGCTTCTCTCCTAGCCTTTCCAGATATTGAAAACTCCCCTGCAGTAATCAGCGTAGCCTTCCGAAAAATGAAATATTCAGCAATTCGGACTGCGGCTCCTCCGTGGTAACTCATGGCCAGGCAGGTCCCTGGGTACCCACAGCCCATCGCATCGGTTGGTACCTGCTCCCATCACCGTGGAGCCACCTCTTGTGCCTGGTGTTACCTCAAAAACACTCAATACACTTCTTGATCAAATCCTTTGGGTGCTGGTTCCTGCCCCACGGGAGCTGCTCAGCAGACCCAGGCTGGGCACCACTGCACATTTATTCAGTAAATGTACTTCTGCCCTCTGCTTAGGGTGCAGTTATTGATAACTCAGCTCGTAATCATCCTCAGGTGTTGGTATAAGGAAATATAACTGTGTGTGATAATATTTCATATTTAATTTTTCTCGGTATATATTTAAAGCAGCACTAGGGCTCTGTTCTTATTTCTTTTATTTTAATGTGTGTTCTGCTCCAGCCTTCCTATTATTCGTTATTACTAATTACTGCCCATTTTTTGGTGTGAAGCAGTTGTTCATCCCGTAACGGGTTTCATGTAATTGCTGTTTTCAAATTCCCAAGCGCTTGCATTTGAAAATGAGAAGGATCTTCAAGAGTGAATGGAGATGTGAGCAGCCAAAGGCCGGATTACTTGGTTTAAGGTCGTGCTCTTCTAACTGCCAATGAAATTCTAGCAATACCTCAGCGTCGCATTCAAGGGGCGTGTTTCTCAGAACATCTGGGACTACCCTTTAAATTTGGGTCATGGCCACGTGTGAAACGTGATGGTTTTGGGTCATTTGACCCAAGAACAAAGGCGAAGTTTTGGCACTTTACCTGGGGTACCAGGGGTGGTGATGCTGGACCCGTTGTGAACCGCTTCCCTTCTTCCCTGCAGCCCGGATAACATGGGTCTGCTGGACCCGGCCACCAGCGACGGCCGAGTCATCTTCTTCCTGCCCTGGGAGAAGATGACCATCGCGGGGACCACGGACAGCCCCACGGATGTCACCTCGCACCCCATCCCCACGGAGGAGGACATCAACTTCATCCTGAGCGAAGTGCGCAACTACCTGAGCGCCGACGTGGAAGGTGAGCGTGGCTGGGGGGAATGGGGTGTTCTGGTCCAGGTAAATGTCTGGGGGTTTCCTGTGGCTCTGGTAACTTTGCTTCTTGTGCACCCAGGGGTTTCTCAAACAAGTGGGACACAAATGATCTGTGTTTCCGAGCTGTAAAATGGTGTTTTTTCCAGATACACCTGCACTGCTTGGACTGTTTACAATCACAGCATGGTTTGGGGTGGAAGGGACCTTTACAGCTCCTTCAGACCAACCCTGCAGTGAGCAGGGACATCGGTACCAGATCAGGGTGCTCAGACCCCATCAGTACCTCCAGGGATGCTCACCTGCAGTGAGCAGACACATCGGTACCAGATCAGGGTGCTCAGACCCCATCAATACCTTGAACATCTCCAGGGATGGGGCTTGCACCACCTCTGGGCAACCTGTGCCACTGATCGACCACCTCATGGGGAAGAGCTTTTTCCTCCTATCCAACCTAAATCTGCCCTTGTCCAGTTTAAAACCATCCCCCCTCGTCCTATTGCTCCATGCCCCAGTGAACAGCTCTGCCCAGATTTCTCACAGGCACCTTTCAGGTCCTGGAAGGTCGCTATAAGGTCCCCCCGGAGCATTCTCTTCTCCAGGCTGAACAGCCCCAACTCTCTCATTTAAATGTAAATATCATTGCTATTCCCATGTTCCTGTTCCCCACACCTCTCACCTGCCAGGCCAGTCTGGTCTCTGTGGTGGCAAATGGGAGGATTTGTGGGACTGGGACATTTGGACCATACATCAACACCAGTGCATCACATAATTCACCAGCTTTTCCTGAAGGAACAGTGATTCTGACTCCTCTTTTGTCTTTTTTTTTTTTAATTTCTGTTTTTCCAGACATCTTATTCTTAGTATTTCCTTTTCTTGATATGGTAAACACCCAATAGTGTCAGTTTTCAGTAGGAGAGGCAAATACAATGGGCAAAAATTTATAAAAACCACTTGGTTTGGGTCGTTTCCTTCAGTAGCTGAGCTGGGAACACATTTGCTGTAGGATGCTGCCTGCTCTGACCCCGGGTTGGTTTATTTCTATGGGGTTTTTTTAATTATTCTGTGAAAACACTTGTACTTCTGCATCTCTGCTGTGGTAGCAGCATTAAAATGAGTTGGAAAAGCACTGGTCAGGGACACTGCAGCATCCTTGGCTTTAGGAGAAGTCGCTGCCCAGAGGTGGGAGCGCTGGGTCGCCCCTAAAGGGGGCAATTGATGTCTCTGCCCTGTTTAAAGTCCACAAAAAGCCCTCGGGAAACGTCCCTTTGGGTAACAAATAACTGCGGTGCGTTGGTAGAGTGAAACCTGTGAGCGATACCGAGCTTTCTGAAGGTATTTCACAGAAACAGGAGCCTTCAATCCTCCTGAACGAGCCCGCCCGCCGTTTGTCACCCGCGCAATTAGCGGCGCTCGTGGCTCGCTCGTTAGCGCGTGAGCGACGGGGCCGCCCGTATCGACGCGCTGCAGGCTGCGCCGCC